GTTCAAGGGGTATGAATACTTTTGCAAACCACTGTATTTTGGACAGTCCAATGTATTTTTGATGCTGCTGTTTTCTCCATCTGCCATTATTTGGTTTATTTATTTACTTATTCGCTTTCAATGCAACATTTTTATCTTTGTTTAATTTGAGTTGTGTAAAATAAAATGCCTGAGAAATAAACATTGTAGTGGTTTAAATAAATAATTTTCATTTAATAATCAGTTGAAGTACAACTTGAAGTTTTGGAGAATCGTCATTATGTTTGACTGAAGGGGTACTTGTGGTATGATAAAATGGCTCCGGGGGTACACAAGTCAAAACAGATTGGGAACCACTGCTTTAGTTTACAAATTAAAGGTCACRTAATCTTTTAATGAATGCATATCACCCACCACCTTTCATGCCACAGTTTAAACTCAAATTGTCTGATGTGACAAAATTGTAGCTGATTTGGTCAAATGTTAACATTAGTACTATCCATGCTCTCATGAGACATTGTAGGATATCACCCTCATTGACAGTGACAGTGTTTTCTGAACAACTCTCAGCTACTACCACAACAAAGTTTTTCTCAGTATCTGTAAAACTGACAGTTCTGTGGCTGATGACATGTCTGACAAGGTACTAAATATAAATATTTGACAGGAAATCCCCTCAAATTAGACTATCTCTTTCATACCATGGATTAAATCACTGTCCAAAGCCTTGGCATTAACTGTTAGTCAGTTCTGCTAGACTGTTAGAAAAATATCTCTTGAACCACTGGACAAACTTTAGTCTAACTTTCAGGTAGTAAATAAAAATTGTAGTCAATCTGTTTGAAGATAACTGCTACAGCTAGTTCACACTACCCAACAACAAAATGTCTAACTCAGTCAGTTTGACAGATGTTGACCTTAAAGTTTGGTGTGGTGGTAGCTGAGGGCCATACACAACACATACTCTGAGCCTGATGTGACACTATAACTCAGAAAATAGTGCACAGCTTTAAAGGTTTGAATAAAACAGCTGAAAGTCATTTCTCAACATACAGTATAATCTAAAACTCTGGAATGAAAGGTGGATGGTGATATGCATGACTTTAAGGAATACTGTGTATGTATTCTATGTAACACATTCAACATAAATTCTGGATATAATGTATAATAATCTGGATATAGGTGTGATATAAAGCTCAGTATTTTCTCTCTTCAGCACTCCTGTGGAGGTCAAGTTAGGACAAGTCCTGGAAGTTAACAGGTCTTTGACGCCCTCTGACCCCTCCTYCAGAGAAGCACAGCATCACCTCGTCATAAAGAAGTCCTCACACTCTGCAGATGTCCATGTGAGCGCAGATTGAAAAGATTTTCATTTTCCTGGTCTGATAAATGACCACACACACTGTATTAATGTCTGAAAAAACTATTCAAATAAACCTATTTGGGCTGAAACTYTGTTACATCTGAGTGTGAATGCAGCTCCAAGGCAGTAATATGGGTTTAGTGTCATAATCAGTCAGGCTGACATTGTCAAGTCCTCAGGTAAATCACCCACAGGCCATTAAAAGCAAATTGGGTCCATGGCAGAGCAGCTCTCTGTGAGCTACTGCCGGACATTAAAAACTAGCTGATAGTTGTGACTGTGACACATTAAACATCAGCTATATCTGGAACATTGGGATTTGTTGGCGAATGGTTGGTCTAGTGTAACAAACTCCRTATAAAGATAAACGACGTTTCTGTAGTTTCCACACTACACAAAAGTGATACAAAGTAAAGCAGAAACAAGTTTTCACACAATTGTTGGCAGGCAAAGATGTCCTGCATAGTCCAAATATAGAAGTCAGGGTAAGAGTCAGTTTGACCAGAAATATTTAACATTTTTTCTGTAAGTAAAGATCTAGCATTCCTTAAAAGAATACAAATGACCCAYTGCTTTTTATACCAGAATGTGAAACTAAGATAGTGGAAATGAATGGTGTTTTAGTGTTTGATTAAAGCTCATGTGGTGAGGTCTTGTGCAATCTGTTTAAAAAAAAAGGAGCCAAACTCACAGAGGTCACTGCTGGAGCAACGGTCAGGAAAGACCAGGTACAGCAGCAGACTGGTCTCATGCATGCAGGACTTGGTGAATCACAAAACTGGACATTTRTTCTGTAGTTGAAGTTGTTCCAAGCTTTTTAAGTTGCAGGAGGTCTTCTGTTACTTCACCTTCAGTACAAACTGCACGCCTCAAATGGTGGAGTTATTAAGCTCTTTGTTTGTTCCGCACAAACATGATGTTTAGGTCACATGCAGGGAAACTGAGTGGGTATCAGGATCAGTGCTGCACTGTAAGTTTAAGCAAGATGAAATTTTGAGATCTCAACAAGAAGCTTTGCAGTTGATAATGCCATTAGAGAGCTTATGTATTTTTAATTTTAGTTATTAAATGAAATAGCTAAGTTTGAACAAATGTCCTTGATGGACTGCCTTTCATGAGCTTTATTTGAAGAATGAGCTGTCTCAGCTAAACTTTGCCATAATCTTGCTGGACAAGTTACATTTGGAGTACGTGTTGCAAAATCCGTCACAACTGACTAACCACATTTTAACAGAAAGTCACACACACACACACACACACACACACACACACACACGTTTGTTCTTGAACCCAGTGGGGACTTTCCATTGACTTCCATTCATGGACCCTGATCATATACTCTGACGTTAACCTCACAGTACCTGACCCTAAAACTAACCTAAACCTTGGTCCTAAACCTAATCTCACCTGTAATTTACATTTGAACCCGTGGGGACCTGGCATTGTTCCCCATGATTCACTTCGGTCCCCACGGGGCTGCTTTTTATGGGAAAATTGTACACACGTTGTAGGACCCCCCCACACACACACACATACTGAACTCCTCTGGTATTTTCATGTACCTTTAGGGTCCACTCTTTCAGAAAATGCATGTTAAAAAAAATTGGGCCTCACTGCCCATTAGGGATGCCTTTTTGACCAAACCCCTTTTTCATGTTGACCATCAAAGTTAGGGGTGCAGAAACCTTAAATGCCACAAACCAACAAAATTGAGGTCTACGTGCATGTACAGGGTGCATAGAACTATTAGGGGCAAAGGGAAAGTGAAAAGATCCTTCAGAACCGTGAGGCTTACTAAGAGGCATTTGGTGTTTGGAGACAAATGGGAAAGAGATGATTCACTCTTCTGTGAGTGATAAGTTCATGTGTGCTCTGTATGGTGTTACATGTGTATGTCTCTTCACATACACACCTCACCTGCAATCATGCCAACCATCTGCAGGTGTGATTGACCTACTTAAATGAGCGACACCCTTCCTCTGAGAAGGACGGGGTCTTGATTTGTCCTCCCTCTGCTGCAGACTGCTTGGGAGCAGCTTGGTTGGTGGCCTCCTTCTACATCTACTCTTTTTAGTTTAATAAACCATTTTAGTTAGTTCCATATTTTTGTTTTGAATCTCATTAAATTTCATCCTTTTGAGCCCGTGYTTTGTAAAAATGGTAATCAGAGAATCGCAAAGGTGAGGTACRTGAACCTGCTCACCAAATGTGGAGTGAAGGATGCAACTTTTCAAAAGTCAACTAATCTTGACTTGTCTACCTTTCAGTGGCAGATGCTGGTCTTTCAACAAGAGGAAGCTCAGTTTTGGCCTACATCATAAAATGTGTGGGTTATAAATTCTATCCTCTGTTCCTTTTCTGTGACCCTGTCAGAGATTGTTTTGTTTAGTTTATAGTATTTATTCATTTCATTTAAAAAAACAAAACATTACATACAACAAAACAA